CTTGATTTGATAGAATCCGGAATTTGCGTCAAGACGAGAGAAGAACTTTGCATCCTTAATCTGTGCCAAGATGTGATCTACTGATGGCATTGCAAATAGTTCCCTTTTGACACTGTTATTCAGCTGTGTAAGGTCTACACATATGCGCACACAAGTCTTTCCCTTGGGTACCACAACCATTCCCGAGGACCAGTCGGTTGGTTCTGTGACAGGCTCAATGACAGCTGCATCCTGCATCTTCTGAAGTTCTTGTTTAATGTTTTCAAGTAGCGGGATTGCAACACGTCTTGGTGCGTTCAGTGAAAAAGGGTCAGCATCCTCTTTCAACTGGATGTCATACTCCCCAGGGATCTCACCAAGTCCTTCAAAGATTTTGGGAAATTGTCCAACCACATCTTCAGTTGTGACTTTGGACCTGCGTTGATTGCTGGTCGTCCGAGGAGAGGGCGTTCTAGACCTTTCACAACGTAGATATCCTGGGTGGTAAGTTTCTCACATTTCCTCAACTGCGAGCTGAAATCTCATAACACTTCAAGTCTGGATCTCGCTGGGCCTAACAAATGTTTGTTGGTTTGTTGCAAGGTTGCACCTTTCAGCTGATAATACGATTGTTCCGGAATGGCAGTTACATCGGCCCCGCAATCTACTTTCAGCCTAAGTGAAGTTCCGTTGAAGGAAATGTTTGTCATCCATGGTCCAGTTTTGTCGTCTCCCGACACAGGCTCATTCAGTTCTCCGACGAAAAATTCTTCAACATCATCGCCATCAATGTTGAAATCTGTCACACATTCATCTACCTTTTTACTATTAAGGCAGACTGAACTATAGTGCCCTTTTTCTTGCACTTATGGCACTCTGCATCACGGGCTGGACATTCATTCCATTTGTGAGATGGTTTAGCACCACATTTCATGCAATAAGGTCTTTTAGGCTTCCACGGTCATTCATTTGTCCTTTTCTTGTAGGAACTCTTGTAGGAGTTTTTGAGACCTGGTATCTAGTAGACTTGTTTTGCTTCGAAAATTTGCGAGACTTGATTGCCTCTACGGAAGCATTTGACATCTCTGATTTCCTGAGTTCTGACTGCTGATTAGTGATCATTTCCTTCTGACGAGCTAACATGACAGCTTTAGCTAAAGTCAGTTTATTGTCACTCTGCAATTTAGCACTTAGTGAAGTATCACTGATCCCAACTACAATGCGATCTCGGATGAAGTTGTCATGCAAGTCACCGTATTCACAATGGCAGACCAATACATGAAGAGAGTTAATAAAGGAATCTACTGTTTCACCTTCTTCTTGAACTCTTCTATTGAAGACTGCACGTTCACAAATCACATTTCGAGAGATTACAAAATGACTCTCAATTTTATCCAGCACAGTCTGATATGAGTGAGTGAGTGAGTATAGTTTTAAGCCGCTTTTAGCAATATTCCAGCAATATCACCGCGGGGGACACCAGAAATGGGCTTCATACATTGTTCCCATGTTGGGAATCGAACCCGGGTCTTCGGCGTGATGAGCGAACGCTTTAACCACTAGGCTACCTGACCGCCCCCAGTCTGATATGACTTAGATTCTTCAACAGTTAAGTGAAGTGCCGATAAAATGTCATCACCTTCATCCCCCATGTGATAGATAAGAGAATTTACTTGGACCTCTTCTGGTTCTTTGTGCAACGCTGATGACTGTCTGAAACACTTGAAGCTTCTTGACCATTTCGGCCACGTTTCTGGTTTAGTAAAATCAAAGTGTTCGGGAGGAGAAACCCTATTAGTCACTACAGGAACTTGTAACTGAGCTAGTGCTTACCCTTCGTTAATGCCAACCTCAGCCAGTTTCAAACTTTCAGTTCATACGAGTCGAGATCAGTCTATGTGATCAAACGTACATACTTTTGCTATTCGAGTTCATAGTGGGCTATCCGTGGGGAAAACATCCCACTTCTGACACCATGTCGGGTTCTTGAATAAAGACATCAGTCTTCTTAGGCTTCATGATACTTTAATGTTGACAAGCGTCGGCATTGCATGTACAGATCTTAACACATGTTCCAGCCAAGGGAGCTAATTCACTCTCACCCAGTTGCATACCGCTAAATACATATACGCCAAATAAGCTAAAAAATTAACTCCACATGGGCCATGAAAATGCCAAATGGGAGCACCTGCCGCTGGTTGTGTTTTCCCTGGAAGATGAAGCGAAGATACCTTTGATGTTCCAGATGGATAAGCACGTGAAGGAACATATCTTGAGGACCAGACTGACCATGTAGTCACCAGGTAGAATAATCGTTTGAAGAAGAGTGACTGAAACCATTCAAAGGTGCAGTGTTGTCTCCAAGAACTGCACATTGAATGTTTTCAAATTGAAAATCATGTGCAGTTTGCCGGTGTCTTTCTTCAGGATGAGGAACACTGAAGAGCAAAACCCTGGGGATTTGGGATTGGGACCTAATGATCCTATTGCATGCTTGTCTAGCAGCATAACTATTGTGTCACGTAGAGCTGGCACTTGGATGGCAGAATTGTCTGCATAGGATGACTCATCACCTCAGCCTTCAGTCAGATCTGGGTGCAACAGACTGTATTGAGCCTTCCTTCTGAGGCGGTGATTCTCCGGAAGCTGTGACAGCAGTTGTAAAAGGTCCACAGATATCTCAAGCTGAGATCTCTTTGTCACCTCCCTGGCCTGAATACCATTGGTGAACAAAGTGTTGAAGAACCAAGGCTATTGTTCCCAAGTACAAGTAGAAGACTACCTCTCCTATGAATGACATGGGACAGTTGATCCATCACTCCTTGAAACTTGTCATGTACGAGTATAAGCACAATCGCCTCATGAATATAAGCCTCTTCTGACTTCATCGCATGTGCCAAAGACATCGCAATTGCTTCTGTTGCGGATAGAATGGTAGAGTAGAGAACGATGGTAGGGTTGGATGAATGGCTGTGTCTAGATTTAGGCCGTATCTAGATGTATAAATTCTCTATCTTCGGCAATCGACATATTACACATTCTCTTGGGGTTGAGTGTCTACAGGTGCACATCCAGTTACAGTGAATTGGAACTCCATGTTATGTGTGCCGCACTCCAGCAAGTTGAACCTTGGTTCCCTGAGTCCATCCCATACTATCATCGAACCTCTGCCGATCCCCATCCAAGTTCGCCGAAAATTGAAAGGTTCATCGATCCTGAAGATCCAAGGTGTAGATTGTTGAACCTCTGCTGATCCCCTAGAAGGTTTGAAGAATGTTGAAAAGTTCACTGTTCGTGACTATCCTTGTGATTCCCCATCTATGTCCCTGGGACTCATAACCCAATCCTTGGATCAATCCTTCGTTGAACAAGTTGCTGAGCAAGGGTTCTTCAAACCTCTATGAAGATCATGCCAAAATGAGTGTGTGAGTGAGTATGGTTTTATGACGCTTTCAACATATTCCAGCAATATCACAGCGGGGGACACCAAAAATGGGCTTCACACATTGTACCTATCTTGATATGAAGTCAAAGAAGTGACAGTAGACAGCTTCCACACACAGATGACTCCTGATCTAGGTACTACAGATGCTTCTTGGGTTATGTCTTATGTCAAGAATGAGTCCGAGCCTTCTTCCAACGAGACTGATGGATCATTCATCGATGCTACCTTTACAGCCTTCACATTTGACAAACCCAATCGAGCAGCCTTTAAAGTTGTTCTTTTTTCTTTATTGGCAGCAAAAGGCCCATGTTCCTCAGGCATTGATTTAGATCATCTGTCACTCTCCTTTTTTGCTCATTTCTATCTGTAGAGAACAAAAGGAAAAGCACTCCTCAACAGTCACTATAACAGCTCATATGCGGATCCTTTACAGAAAATGTCAGCTTGCAACTCTCACACATTTTCCTTTCCTTTCTATCCATAACAAAAGCTTTACATATACTCAAGAAATAAGTATTGCTCTCCTCCACACTAGAGCAATGTGACAGTGCAAGTCACGTGGTCAGGCAGCACAATGTTCATGCAGTGCACAGACAAATGGTATTACTGGTGACCATGGTTATGTCTAGGATGTGCTCAGGTGAAGTGTTTTTTTACAAGCTAGAAACATGATCAAGGATCATTTCAAATCTTGGATCAATTGAAAAGGGAGAAATGCCAAGTGTGAGATATGATAAGTATAAAAAGATATATATATCTTATAAAAATCTAAGCTTCATTGGTTACAGACAAGATGTTTATGATTGACAGCAGGTGATGGACAAACAGAAAGGCCTTGACACAATTTCACTTTAGTATGAGCAAAAAAAGACCTAATAGTTTGAGTGCATACTTCCAAACTTAATTGCTAAGGAGGATAATTTCTTTTAATGAAAAATCTGCTTTGTTGTAGAAATGGACATGGAAGTGATATTAAACCTTTGAAGGGGAGGAGTTTTTAAGCTGAGGACTAACAGACACATAGATAGATGAAAACTGAGGACAAGCTCATATCAATAATATCAGGGTAAGCAAACCAAATAATATTCTGCTATGATGCATATCCAAGGTCATAATGATGTAAGCAGATATGGCCAATGAAGAGATGAAATAACAGTGACTGAGTGAGTGAGTTTGGTTTTGCGCCTCTTTTAGCAATATTCCAGCAATATCACGGCGGGGGACACCAGAAATGAGCTTCACACATTGAACCCATGTCAGGAATCGGACCCGGGTCTTCGGCATGACGAGTGAACGCTTTAACCACTAGGCTACCTGACCGCCCCTGATGAAATAACATTGTCAACATGACACTTGTGAGTGAGTGAGTGAGTATGGTTTTACGCCGCTTTTAGCAATATTCCAGCAATATCACGGCGGGGGACACCAGAAATGGGCTTCACACAATGTACCCACGTCGGGAATCGAACCGGGGTCTTGGGCGTCACAAGCGAATGCTTTAACCACTAGGCTACCCGACCGCCCCGACACTTGTGATGAAAACATAACATATATGATGGCCAGTCAATAATCATACCTAGCAGTGCTTGGAGGTTGGCACTGGCCTGTGCTAGTCGGTCTCCAGTATCTGACTGCGGAAAGAAAACAGCTGGTGGTAATCCATTTCCTGCTGGCTCAAAACGAAAACCAACTGCTTGAAGTAGATCTTTCCATCCATGGACTCCCCCAACTTTGTTCTCTATGCTCTGATATGTAGTGTACATTGAATTCTTTGTGCCATGCATTATTCGCTGAATTGACTTTTCAATCTGAAAATAACACAACATACATAAGGATATTCAAAGAGTATAATACAAGAATTAAAGATGCATCAATTAAACAGAAAGAAATCCTTTGGGGTAAATGTTGCCTCTGGCTGAGTGGGCAGGTATACAGAAATTTCAGGTAATGGCAGAAGTTGAAGGTAAATGGTTTCCCGCAAAGGTAAAAAAAAGGTGAACATTTGACACTCACAGTACACAAATGTCTAATCACTTTCCTGCAACGTACTTTAGCATCTATTAAAATTCAGAAAGATTGTGTCACAGCACTGTAGCTCACCTGGACATGCAGTCAAATGTTTTACACATCAACAAAAGACAGAAACTTAGCAAAAGTTAAGTGGTCAGCATTAAAGGGGCACTGATCTAACGCAATTCCCCGGACTGGTTGTTGCCTTTGTTATTGTTTTTTCCCCCCGTGAGTACCCGGATGATACGCAACGCAACTGAGCGTGACCAGAGACTGGGCTACTGTCTGCAAGGACAGCTAAATAAACTTGGAGGCTGGAGGCAATATTTGTTTTACGCATTTTTGTATAAACACTGATTGGTTAACTGTGATCTATACAGATTTCGACAAAGGGCGCATGTTAATTAATTTCTTCAGCCTAAACAAGCAGACAAAAAGAACAGCGGAGCTCATCGGATGTCGTCATTTGGAAATACCCCAGATGGTTATAGTTAAATACTAAAAAAAGTATCCATGCAGTGAAAGCATTTTCGGGTTTCTGCTTGCGCCGATAATACGATTACTACTCCCTTGTTGACATGCACGTTTTCTCGTATAACCCTTCACTTGTGTATTTGTCATCATTCACTTGATGCTCAGTTAATGAATTTATTACAGGTACAATTAGTGGTAGCACCACTTAGATTACCTGACAAAGGTTCCCATTTGGCATTTATTGTGTCTGGGGTAATTATTCAATCTAAATCCAGGTTTGAAGTGAGGTGAAATGTGTGTTATGTAATATGCACGTGGCAGCCCAGCAAGAGGTGAATACTTTTTTTGTAAATCAACGGATCGTTCCTAGTCATCAAAGGATTAACAGAAAATACGTTGATTGATTAATCACTGTTATCTTTGCACAGTGGATATGTCAAAAGTGAGTGTTTACATGTCTAGGTTTACTATAACAAAGGGAATACACTCATATCATGGCGTGAACTGCCGATGTAAAAACAACATACTTTGTTCGAAGGGTTAACTGATAATACGTTGATTGATTGTTATCTATCACTCAATGGATTTTTTAGGAACCGTGGACGTTATGAAAATAGTTGTCACGTGGGCTTTCACAGCCGACCCTTGAGACCTATGTGAAACACCTGAAACAATCTAAGTGATCAGTTAAGAAACGAACACGGGTTATAATATCCCGAAACGATATATATCTTTTAAAATATTTGATTGTTACAGAGACACGTGACATCGAATAGGTTTCTTTGTACAGCTGCAGAAGAGTGGGATATTGTTCCTTTGTGTGGATATTCACGGATACATTCCTAGAACAAGGACGCTGCCTAAAATTTATACACATAAATTTGGTAGGTTGTAATTATGAAATTTGCATTTTGTTTTCCTTCATTTGAACAAATTTGGTTTTGGTTCTCTACGTCTTGGTTGGGAAATTCTTCAATGCGCGATAGACGTTGTTTTCACAGGTCTTTTCCTTTGTAAGCGTGTATATATTACCGTTAATTTGTAAAATGTGATTCTCTCAGGCAATTGATAAAATGTGTAAATATTTCAGTCATTTTGACTAAAAAATCTGTCCAGATTGATTAAGACGATCAAAAGGGCCTACAAACATCACAACAGATTATTATGTAGGATTAGAAGCCAAACAACATAGAAATGTACTTTTCTCAACGTAACATTTTCAGTCTCTTGGTGATGACATTAAACATCAAAATGTTTGGAATTCGTTATCATAATAATACAGATGGAAATGTTTTTCAGTCACTTTGTAAAATAACTGAATATTTAGACGTTTAATAAATTTGTTACACCTTTGACAGTAAAAAAAAATACACACTATAAAAAAGCAATGCTCAGGTGAGATATGTACTTTGTGTTGCAAGTCAAAATAGTGTAAACGAAAATCGCAAAATTACCAAGCAAGTGACTTATCAAAACTTCGTCACCATTACCGATGCTACCCACAAAGATACCTACATTTCCTTATTATCTCGAAAACTGTATTTCATTTTGTTCATCAATGTGACCATACGCCCTTATTACTACCCATAAAAGCGACTAATGCGCTTACGAATGGCGCAGCAGAGGTCGCGAACTAGTCTAGATTTCTGCTATACATCCGGGTACTCACTGGGAAAAAACAATAACAAAGGCAACAACCAGTCCCGGGGAATTGCGTTAGATCAGTGCCCCTTTAACATTAAACACTGACAACAAAAGCTTACACAAAAATCCTTGATCAACATATACACATCAGAAAAAGAAATAGACGTACATGCAGTTTCCTCGCTTGGGTGATTTCAGAGATTATGTTTACAGAGCAATTTAAGAAGAGCATGATCAAAATATGGCCACTAACAGCCAATTTAAACAAGGGTCTGCTGACATTTGATATTTTAATCACGTCAACTGAGATGTACTGATGTACATTATTAGCCAAGGGTTGAAGAGACTGGTGGTACATGTAGGTGTGTTGTACTCGTATTTTTATTATTATTATATTTTTATCATTTTAAGGAAAACGATGAAAGGTCAGGTTGGAACTTTCTTCATTCACATTCTTCAACAAAATCACTTTATAAAATGAAACAAGCATAAACATAAAATTACGTCTTAGTCATTTGATTGGTAAGGGAGAAAATACGAGGGGTAGCTTCAAAGTTAGGAGCCTAACAAGGATGGACTGCATGGCTGGAGTTGATTGCTTATTATTTTTCAACTTCTGAGATCCACACATTTCTGCCTGGATCTCCCTGCAGTAAAACACTTCCTCCTGGTGGTGTAAAAAGTCCCCCACAGCAGATATACTAGGAACAACATTAAAGGGAACACACAAATTTATTCAGAAATGATATGTGAAGAAATGACATTGTGGAATTCAATCTTCAAAGTAAATTCAATATCTGGTCCATGACCCAAGAGCATCGATGCAGGATGGAGGCATGACATGTTCTGGGCATACTGGATATTAAAGGCCGGATTGTCTCTCCTGGTATTCTTTGCTATTCTTCTTGTGAGGCCTGATGAAGTGGCAAATTCTGGGAACACTGAGGTCATTCACAAATCCTTCTGTTCAGATCATCCAAATGGTATTCTATCCGTGACATGTCTGGAGATTTGGGTGACCAAGACAAAGTTATGACTCCTGGCTGCCTCAGACATTTGACTGCAACATGACCTCTGTGAAACACGAAATGGGATGACCACTGGACCTAACATCTGGTCTACATAATGTTTACTGGCGGTGTTTCCTTGCACGTTCATTAGATTTATCCTGTTATCGTAAGTGATGCAAGATGAGACCATGATGCAGCCAAAACCATACATATCGTGTTCTTGGACTCCAAACATTGTCTACCATCTGTAAAGCATAAACAAAACCCTGATTTATCAGAAAACATGGTGTACCTCCAATGCCGCTGTTGAGAACCTTCAAACTGCTGTGATGACTGTAGTCTGAGGCGCCTGTTTGCCACAGTCAAACACATTCCTCTGAAAGGACGTCTTGATGACCGACAGTTTTCAAACTGTTTCGTATGGTTAAAAGTTGGCTTCCTATGGCAGCCCTGAAGTTGTCCCTCAGTTCTGGTGCAAAAATGAATCTGTTCCTCAACACAATGGTGTGTAGATATCAATCCTGCCTGGGAGTAGAATTTCTAGACCTTCTTCTACCCACCCTAATTTTGCCAATATCATTCCATCAGTTGGGATATCTCACTTTTAGATTTACCAAAATGTCTGGCAACTGCATTCTTTGACTGGCCAGGTTCAATCTTGTTTATAGCATGCAAGTTTTCATTTTCTGTCATGTACCCATTTGGAGGAATTTTCTTCATTGTACCTAATCAATGAACCATGTGGTTGTGACATTTATTGACACCTACCATTAACCACGTTTCAGTCACTGTGGACAGCATGTTTTACAAGTGCAATGTGCAAAGTTTGAGCAAGTTTGCTATCCGTGTTTGGTAACTGTGTCTTGTGCAATCATTGTTAATAATTCTAAGAATACTACCTCTATTACATCAGTAGTAGTCCCAACCACCTCCCCAATTCATCTACCTCTAGTGGTTAGATGTTGGAAAGAAATGCGGTTTCCAGCCATTACACATGTCATAGCTTCGGTAGCTATAGTGCTATTTGGGAACAACTGATTGTGTGTAATTGACAGTGAAAAGGATGTCTGTTGAAAATCTGAAAATTTAGTTAGTGTGACTGAAGCCAAAATACAGGATTTTTGGCAAAGATGTAATAGAGGCAGTATTCTTAAAATTATTAACAATGATAACTATTGTTTGATAATTCTTGCGAATCCTGTACCTCTATTACATCTTTGCCAGAATATACCAGAGGGATCCGGCGGGATCTGCCTCTAGTAACTGCCTGTGATTTTGACAGTAATCCTCTCTTGGAAACCACTTAATCACTGATTCTAATCTTGACCCAAGATGATTTCCTCTGACATTTCTCTTGAGGACTTGAAAACGTCACTTCCGGTCATCTGCACCTTGTTCTTGAGGCAGTTGATACTCAAGATGCTCCTAATCAATTTTATGCCTAATAGACAGGATAATCAAGGGTGCTGATGCTGCTGGTGTCAGATCCTACCAGCTCCCCCCTTTTTTAGGAAAGGAAACTATTGGTGGATGATAGTTTGCGCCATGACAATGGTGCCAAGGGGTATATGCCCTCTAGGTCCAGCTGCACGTCAACAAAATAAAAGCTGGTGACGGTGTTTTGTGAGGCCCACTGACACCACTTGTTCCACCGAAACGGATTTTCATAA